AGACATGAATATGCTCTGTATGACCCCAATGATCAATCAGTTAACAAAGTTGCAGAATTTGGCAATCCCATTGTTGGATCCTGGCCTGTGAGCTTGGTCACCCTGGGTAGATGAATTCAATCACTCAATTCTACTTTTATTAACATTATTTTTTTTTTCTAGTTTTATTATCTTCTTTAATGTTGGGAGTGTCTGATAATAGAAGAGGGTGTGCTATAGTGTTAAGAATGCTATAGTGTTGAGACTTGAGAGTGCTGAGGCTGGGATGTCAGAAGGCAGTTTGGTTGTTGGAGGAGCTTTAATAGGCCACAATGGATGTGTTAATGGTGTTCTTTCAGGTGCTATAAGTTGCAATGAGAAGGATGAAACAATTCTGCCAGCTATTATTCTTTGCTGTTGACAAGAGCTCTGTGCTTTCAGCTAGTAAATTTGGCTGTCAAAGGAATGGTCATTTTGGTTTTTATTATTCATTAATTACAAACAATTGCTCTTGACAGTTCAGTTTTGTCTTATCTTCAATGAATTTGATGTGTCTTTGGAGTTGCAGGAAGTTGATACTGTGAAATTCTGCCATGTGTGCCATTGTCAATATTCTGTTAGATTATTATGCTAATCAAGTTGTGTGTGAAGCAGAGGCAAGGCAAGGGAAGCATGACTCCCATGATAATTGATTTATTTTTCCTTGAATGTCATTTGCAGAAAGGTGGATTTTCTTGATACAGTTCTGATTTATTGGTGCTGTTCACGATTATACTGCCTGTCTTTGTGCTATTTTATCTTCACAAATGTATGGAGCGTAGATTTGTGTGGATTAGTCTAATTTAAGCTTTATCTTTTTGCTTTATCTTTTTGTACCAGTTGACCTGCAGATTCTTATTGGTTTATTAGGTGTGTTGCTTGTGTTTGCTGTCATTGTCCTGCATTTCCGTTTAGTTCAGAGGTTCGAAGTCTGGAGATACTTCAGGGTTTTGTTTTCATTTTTTCACAACCTTGGAAGGAGTTGTTGAAGCTTTGCCAGTGGGAAGGTTTTTTAGGTATTGGCAACCCAATTCAATGTTGTATTTTCTTATGCTTCTTATGAATTTGTTTTCTGAGTTGGCTTTATGCACTTAGATTTGGGTTCAGTTGGACTCTGGCAATCTGCCTCTTCTGTTTCTTAAGTTATTATCAGTGAAATATTTTTATTTATAAAAGAAAGCAATTTGATTTTGCTTGAATATCCAATGATAGATTAATGAGTTCATTGTATTTTACCCTTTGGTTGCTGGTCTTGTTGTCACTGGATTAGGAAGAATGATCTTTTCTATCTTTCTTTTAGAATATGCTTTATGAATGTTTATCAATGTTATGTGTGGATCAGATCCTTTTCTAGTAGAAATACATCCAGACACATCTTTACTGTGTTGTTTCTTTCATTAGTTTTGGCACATTAAACTTTTGTTATACCAACAAGAAAGGTTTTACACTTCAGAGACACTAGAAATGTCTTGATAGTTTCTATGAGACTTTGCATCATTTTCATTTGTGGATTTTAGTCATTTTGCTCTGAACTCTTAGGCTTCTCTTAATACATGGATTTATAGTTGCTGCTACTGATTAGAGCACAATAGACAAAAATGCATTTTAGTCACATGGGTCATTGCTAATTTTTGTGTACTTAATGATGTGTAATTGGTGAGGAAAGGTACATAATTTGGTCACGAAAGTAATCTAAGTTGGTCATGAAGATTGCCACTGGTAGTCAAGCACTGAAGGATCTAAAACCCCCAAAGCAAAAGCTGCGATTTAACTTCTCTGCAACTAAATGGAATAGAATTTTTGAGTTGCTTGCTACTTACTGTGGAATTATTGACAATATGCAGTGCATGTCCATTTGATTGTAATGTAAGAAATTAATAGAAGTATCAAGTTCATATTTTTCCCGGCAGCATACATCTCATTCCCCTCAAGCTTGGGATATCTGAGATTTGATTTCTTGTTACCTTATAACTAAAGTACATTATATATCTGAACCATGCAATGGTCTATGGATGTGCAGCCATATTCATGTTGAAAGGTTTTTTGTATCATGGCTCCATTTTTTGGCGTATGATTTTGTTTTATTATCAATATTGTTATGGAGGCAAAATGACAGCAAATCCCTATGATGTGTCCAAACTTTAATTGCAAAAAGGATGACAAACCCCTGCGTAATGTTTACTGGATTTTAGTTGTACAAGTTCTGTTTTGCATCTTTGCCTTCCTAAAACTCTTAATGAATCATTTTGTGCTAAGGTAGCAGTTTTATATAAGCTTGAACTCTATGAACTACTGACCTATTGTGCATTTATGATCTGGACAGCTTTGAAGCTTTACATCACTTAGGCATCTTATCCGGACCGTATTACACATTTTTGTTTTAATATATGGGGGTAATGCTTATCCGCCTTACCTTCCAAAAATTAAGAAGAAAAAAGACAAATATCATTTTAATGCATGTTTTAAAAATAGAGTAGTTTAGTCTTTTTCAATAAAAATTTATTGAAACGATATAGTTTTAGGATGATTTTTCTCTTAATCTTTAGGAGGTAAGGCTGACAGGCACTTTTTCCTTAATATATATACTAAAAAGTGTTTTACAAATTGTTTAATACAGTAAAACACTAACTTTTGGATCGATGATAGCCTTTATTCATCTCTCATATAAGGATTCTTGTTTTATAGTTTTAAACAATTTAGATTATAAAATAATATACCCATATACATATATATATATATATATAGAAAACTATTTTACAATTTGAACTATAAAATATTGATTTTTGGGATCCACCTCCATTTAATAGTTTTTGTTTTATGTTATGTATATTTTGAATTGTAAAACAATAGACTCATATAAATATATGTATATGAAATTTTTTAATCTGTATCTAAAACATTTATTGCATCATTTTATCATTAATTTACATAAGAAAAATAAAAGTTGATTTTAATTTTATCAATCGACCAATTAAATTGTTATGTGTGGTATTAATGTTGAAAATACAATTTACTTTCATAATTTTTATATAAATTAATAATAAAAATATTTGACAAAAATTTTATAAAAAATCAAATTTAATTATTATTTATATAAATGATTAAATTTTTATTTAGAATCATAATTTTTATATAAATTAATAATAAAAATATTTGACAAAAATTTTATATAAAAAGAATTTTTAATTATTATTAATATAGATTATTAATAATTAAAAATTCTTTTTATATAAAATTTTTGTCAAATAATTTTATAAAAAATAAAATTTAATTATTATTTATATAAATTATTAAATTTTTATTTAAAATTTATATTTAAAAATTAAAAATTATAATTATAATCATTAAAAATAAACTAAAAGAGTAATAAGAAACTTTTCAAGAATAAAAGTTATATATAGTTGATGTTTGGCTATTGTATGATCCAATTTGGGAGCATTTGGGAGCGTGTGAGAGTTTTGATAGAAATTAGACCTCAAAGGGCGATAGATCATTTACAGTAGCAAGAAGAAATGTCAGAATTTCGCGTCCATGAGATATGTTATTTACATAAAATTCTAATAATTTATTTTTTATTATAAATAATTAAAATTTATATATTTTTTATTATAATTATTTGTAAAAAATGATGCTATTTAAGTAATTATAAATCTCTTATAAAAAGATAAATGTTTTAAATTTTATATAAATAATATGTATAATAACCATGTATAAGTCAATTCCAACTTATATATATCCCAACTCTATATACATTTGCAGTAGTTTTAGA